CCCATTGTAATGAGCTATTTGATTCTAGAAAGAATGGAGAACTGTTAAATGGGCATGAAAGCTTCTTTTGTGCATGCTGGGACAAATATTTGATGGCAAATTGTAATTTCTACTCTAACTACTCCCTTAGGAGAGATTGTAGCAACCATTTCCAAGCGGACTTTGTTAAATTGTAGGTGGATGGTTCTGTCTTGCAAGATGGTAGAAGTGGATGTGGGGGTGCTGTTTGGACCAAGAATGATTAGTGGCTAGGTGGATTCAGCTGGAAACTTGGCTTAGCAATCGTGTTGGAATAGAGGGTATAGAAATATAGCGGTTTATAGCAATTGTGTGGAACCCTTGTGTTTGTTTTGTAGAGGTTGTGAAAGCAGCTATCCCTTTAAGGACATAGTTGATGATGCTAGGCTCTTGCTTCATGGGATTGGACAGTTATATCGATACATTCTCCTAGGGACTCTATTCCTATTATTGATCACCTAGCAAAACTCTCCCATCATATAGAGGGTAATTTTTGTATCTTAGATCAACCACGTTCTTTAGGTGAGGGGGATGTTGGAAATTGTGCCATAGAGGCCAATCATTGTGTTATGAACATTGTTGATTTATGAATTTCTTAATTATGTTATCATATTATTTGCATATTTACTGTGATGACTATCCTTAGATAACTCATGATTTTATCCTAAATGTCCCTGGTCGATCATCTATGTGGGAGCAGAGATAAAATAAGACCAGTATGACTTTGAAGATGTATAGAGATATAAATCAAAGTCATAAGCACATGTAAGAGTACAAGGTGTTAGACCGACCCGCTATGAGAGAGCTGCATGGGTTAAGTCATAAGCTTCTCTCATATACAAACCATGTCACTATGCCCTTTGACCTGAGATCATCATGGATTCCTATATGAGAAACGCTTAGCTTTGACCTAGTCAAAAGTCACTTTTGACCGAGTTATCATAAAGACTATGTTCAGGCTTAGTGGTTTTTCATATGGAGGAATGTGAATGATCAAGATGGAATTTGTCCCTCACATTCGTAGAGAGACATTACTGGGCCCCTCGATGAGTGAGTCTGAGAAATGTATGGCCATACTATAATGTAAAGGTAGTTCCATTTCTATACTCAGACTACTCAGGGATCGAGAAAGCAACGGTCAAGAATAGGAGGATGACGTTCTCCATGCCTCATCCATGACCGAAATGTCGTGTGACAAAAAGGACGTGATATGGTTGCATGAAAGGTTGCATCGTTCATCGATCCTCATATGATTTGGGTAGTCATGATGTCTTGCTAGAGACCACTTACGACTTGTGAGTCATTATAATAAATGGCCCACTGCCAACTTCATATAGGCCTACAGGGTCGCACACAAAATAGCCCAACACGAGCTATGATGTCTAGATTCATTGAATCTAAGATATGTCCAGATTCAATGAATAATCTAGGGTGGACGTGTATATATATATATATATAAATTCACGTGTATATATATATATATATATAATATAAGAGATATTTATAAGATTTGATTTACAAGGATAAATTAAATCTATATCATTTTTTTAATTGATAAGGTATAATATCTCAAATTTGATTTATTAGAATAAATCAAACATAATTCCGTCATATCTTTATTTTGAATTAAATGAATAGGTGAATTAAATCTGTAGGACGGATTTAATATAAAAACTGTATTTATTTAATTAATTTCTTATCAGATTATACAATATGTGATATTGTATTAATTTCGGAATTAATTTAGGATTAATTTAGAAATCCAATATCCTTAGCGTCCTATATATATTTGATATTAGGAGCTAGGGTTTTTGGGCGTGTGAGGGTGCAAAACGTTTGTAGATAAGAAACGGTCAATAGAGAGACAGTGAGGACAGATTATCAAAAACCCTAGAAGAACAAAAGGCGCTAGCACGTCGTTCATGATTGGAACGCTGTTCGTGTGGATACCGGTAGAGGAAGCCGATCTGAGTCGTCAACTTCTCATGATCACACCAAGTGCATAGGCATCCAGAACGTCGGAATCCCCGAGCCACCATCGATTTGAATACCGCAGGTAACATCTCTTACTACTTGACAATCGGTAGATCTGGGTAAGGAATTGAAAAATTTTAAAGGTTAATTTCCGCTGCGTGTCTTTTAATTCCTTACAGGGGATTGATAGAGGAAACTAGGTTTAGATGTTTGTTGCTTTGGTGTAAGTGCTTGTTCTCAGTCTTTGATTAAAAGAAGAAGAAGAAGAAGAAACACAAAAAAAATAGACAACAAATCTTGCCAAATGATTTATTGATGATGAGGCTGTCAGATTAAAGTTCTTTTTGTTGATGCAAATGATTTCCAAGGAATCATGTGCAATTTCATAAAGGCGCCTTCTATAAATGATCTAATAAAGAGCTGTACGCAAACAAGTGTACAAGAAGTGATTCGTTGAGTTGTCTATCTATTTTTTTCACTTAACAAATACGCAATACTAGTTGTCCTGAACTCCAAATGAGTATATGACAATGTATTTTCCTGCAAAATTTGTTCTTGTAAAGTAAATTGGACCAATCTATCTTCAAAGAGATAATCATTGATGGGGCGCTTAGTTTGAAATTTGAAATAAGCCACGCTTCTATTTTCTAACTAGAGAAAGCTACAGATGAAAAAGATTGAATGCCATTAACTTCTCTAATGACCTGATGTGGTGACTAAATGACACCATTATGAATGGCAATATTTCTTTTATGTCGGAGGGCATTAAGAATGATAATTATTCCTTGCATAATATCATGAAGGCCTTCTGAGTGAAGAGCATAGATTGTAGAATTCAACCAACTCAACAAATATGAGAAAGGGTGTCCTTGAAGTTTGATTAAAAACCTACCAAACTAGATTAATTTGACATAAGGACACGAGATAAAAATATGCTCAAGAGTTTTATCATCATCACAACCAAAAAAGGACAAGAAATAGAAGAATTGAAGTGATGTGCCATAAGTACATCTGCAATTGGTGGTAATACTTGAGGGAGTAATTTCCTAGTAAAGAGCAAGTATTTAAAAGGTAAAGAAATAGACCATAAAAAGCGCAAAGGGTCTACCAAACTGGCAACAGAAGATGCAGATTGTGAAAGAAGCTTATAACCATCCTTGACTGAATAAGAACCTGTTGGGTTACCCTTCCAAGTGAGGAAATCTTGCCTATTGTAGTAGGACAATGGAATTTGCAGAGTATTCTCGGCAACATGGGAAGAATATAAGTATGAAATAAGGGGTGAGTTGCAATGGATGTGCTTCCAACTGAAAGGACTATGTCGTATCAGTTTAGCCACTCTAGTTAAGGCTCTAGCCACTGGAGATGGTGGTTTGGAGGAATATCTGATCTTCATCCACATTCCACTCCAAGTTATGAGTAATACTTTCCGCATTTTCTAATGGTCATTTCTAAATCCAGGATGAGTTATATGATTTCTTTACAATGGATGAGAGAGATAAATCAATTCGCTTTAATTTTAGTGTTTGACCCAAAAGAGAAAGAGACTATAAGTTGATGATTCTTCAAAACTACTTAGATAGAAGAGCTTTATTCGCCAAATTAGTTGATCTAACACCAAGTCCACTCTTATTAATTGGGAGGAACAAGATATCTTTTTTAAGTAGGTAAGTTTATCTCTTTTCACCCGTTATGCCCTAGAAAAAAATCTATACATCTGCTGTGTATACATGAGCGGATCTCTTTTCATCTGTATTGCTTTGTTGAACTTGAATGATTATGGGATGTTTCTGCTGGTAATTGTAGCTGCTTATATTTTGTCTTTTTAGAGTGATCTAATGTGTATTTGCTCAACTAGTATTGTCACTTACTTACATTTGAATTTTAACCATGCTCAAGTACACGATCAAGTATCAAACACAAGGCCTCATAGTATTGGGAGAAATTATGAAACTGCTGCGTAATTTATACTTAGTTGAAAATGAAGGTGGAATTAAGAAAGAGAATAATTATCTAGTTGACGTTCAAGTTTAACTTAAATAATAGAGAACAAATTGTAGAGCATATGAAATCTAATTAGGTATTGAATATTATTTAGTTAAATGTGTGTGTGTGTATTTATTTATTAAATAGATCTAATAGCGTTTTTAGTAGTTATAATTGTTTTTAATATTAACTTCAGTCCTTAATATAAGAACTAGTTGATTAAGTTTAGTAGATTAAGAAAATTAGTTAAAATAGTTATTTGTAATAAATAGGTATTGTCTTTCCTAAAATACCTTTGCTGGTCATGTGTATTAGCTAGAAATACTATTTGATGGAACGTTTAACATGTACAACTATTACAAGAATTACTTTGAAAAACAGATATATGTGAGAAGCATAGTGGATTATAGTCTTATATTTAGATTGAATTAAATGTTAAACTAGCTCTGATATTAAGATCCAGAAGTAATAATACATTAAACTCTTTTGATCTTCATAATTATAATTTTAATATTTTCCTTAAAATTATCAAATTATATACATATAATATGTATAAAGGATGGCAAAATAATGAACATATATATAATAAAACTTATTGTTTTAGCCATTTTACATATACATATTCTTTAAATTATACGATACAAACACATTTAAATAGTTAATTTGTCAGACTGATTTTTTTTTTAACAAAAGTATATCCAAACGTATATCACACTATATTATCCAAACAAATTTAAATTGTCAGACTAATTATTTTTAACAAAAGTATATCCAGACATGTATTACACTATATTAATTGATTTTTACCTCAACTTCTACCTGTAAGGTATGACAACAACTTAGATACTGCATTTTAAGTCTTGTCCATAGAAAATGGAATAGTTATACCTGCAGGATGGTTTTCGGTAAAAACTGCATATTGCTACCTTCGGTAGGAATGACATTTGAAATATATTATGAAAGGACATTTGAAGTGTATACAACAAGAAACCAGTAACTACTGAATGAAAAACATGAGGCTATTTCAAGTAAAATAAGGACCTGCTCTTAATAACTAAGAATACATTTACATCAGCACATTTTGTTCACATCAGTCTCACCTCATCTTACTATGCCTGTGGAACTTGTATCTAACAGCAGAATAAAACAGTGGATCCAAGTTATAGATGGAACAACACATATCCCTCAAAAGAATGCCAAAAGTGGCTTTAGTTCTGTCAGAAAAATTTGCCTAATATACAGATTTTTTTTTTTTGGTTCTTTGCTTAAACAAGCACCATGAGGGCACCATCTTACAACTCCAAATCAACTAACATGCCCTATTAATTTTTGTAAGGTGGGTATACTTTGGAGTTTCTCATTTTATCATAATGCACCATTTTATGGTTCCTCAGTCTTCACAGGAGTCCAATTACCTCTGGCCTCAGAGTTCTTCTTGCCATGTGATAACCAGCCAAGAAGGTAGCCTAATAGGGTCCCAAGTATCAACACACTTCCTGCCTTAACGTACCATGAAAAGGTCCATTCAAGGGTTCTATCTTTGGCACCACCGTTTATAACTTCTCCAGACGCAAGAATTTCCACCATATCATGCACCTCACCATCATGGTTCCCAACATAAGAAAGCACAAGTTTCTCTTTTGTAGCGAACAATCTGGTGTACCCGAACTCACCCCCACGGTACAGAGACCGTTCTGGTTGGGGATAGATTGGGTCCTTAGGGTGGTCAGGTCTGGGTTCCCAGATGGGTTGCCAATCTTGCCCTGCCATTCCAATTACAATATGAACAGTATACGCTTCTGAGTCCTCCCCTTTTCGACCCACACTGTTACTACAAGTGAAGTTGTTTAGAGGACAAAATCTCTCGTATCTATGGACATGACCCCATAAAGCTAGTGTCACATTATTTTTCACCAACAAAGGTTCCAAGTGTTCCAGCATCTTTGCTCTCAATCCAGCATCTCTAAATTCGTTACTTGTCGTGTACATGGGTCGGTGCCCTTGGACTATTACAAAAGGAGTCTTACCCCTATCAACTGATTCCAAGTCATGCTTTAAAAAGTTATATTGGCTGCTTCCAGGGAGGAAATTGGTCTCAGTTGAGAAGTACACGAAATGTACTGCTCCCATATCAAATGAGTAATAAAGGTTCCGAGTTGCTGGGGCTTCTGTTCCAGTGGGTTCCTTAGAGTTTCCAGGCATATTGAACTTTAGACTGTAGGGCACGCCACACTCACCACCCCCATCTCTTCCATAACTGGCCCAATCAGGTTTCCATGGCTGCAAGGGCCAGTCATATTCATGATTACCAATGCAAACATGATATGCCACTCTGGCTGCAACTGGTTCAATTTGAGTGAAAAAATGGTCCCATAACCATGAGTATCCTCTGGCATAGCTAATGTCTCCAATGTGGGAGATGAATGCCGGCTTATCGCCTAGAGCTTCAATATCACGGAGGATCCACTTCATTGTTGATATGCTTTCCTCTTGTGTACGCAGAAATGTATTGTAAGGAGTAGCAGTTCCCATGTCACCAAAGAGGAAAGCTATTGTTTCATCAGAGTCACCGTTCCTTGACACAAAGCTGTGAGTTTCACTCCAACCTCCATAATCATTTCCAACCTGGCAAAAAGCAGATGATGACCTCAAGAGTAGATGACATAGTCTAACTAGCTAGATTGAGTCCATGCTCTACTACTTTACGTAATTAAACTTATTCTGAGCAAGATTAAAATAGTTTTGGTTTTAAAAGTAAAAGAAACATGAGCCAAACTAATCATGTATCACAGAAGTATGTATTTGGGAGAACCAGCAATGGATAAATCAGTGGAATTCTTGAAAATATCTGAACAAAAGAAAAAAGGGAAGACTTACTGCAGAGACCAGAAAACATACATATATTCCACATGTTTAAGTAACACTATTCTACTGACAAATCAAAAGGAAAAAAGCTAAAGCATGTAAAACAATAAATGAAGCTCAAACACAGCAGCTTTGCAATTGCATGTTCAAGAAGCCATTATTGAAGTACCACAACCAAGTGTCAATAAATAAGTCTATAATCAAAATAATCAACTACTAGTATCAATCTACTGGATAACCAAGGAAATTGTCAACAGATTCAAAGCTTAAATGCATAGTTTTGCAATATAAAGTTCGTTTTTCTTTTTGGTCAAAAGCAATATAAAGTTCAAGAGCCACCACTGACTGAAGTACCACAGCCAAGTGTATATCAACCAGTCTATCAGTCGAACAAGTGACACTATACTTGTCAGTAAGACTTGAGACCTAACCAGTTTAGCATACAATAGACATCCACTGTTGAGGAATTCCCTAAGAAGGAAAATTAAAAGGCAAAAAAAAAAAAAAAAGTTAAGAAGGAGGCTTTTATAAAGGAATGATGTTGTTGAGGCATACGAAGTCAAGTAAATTGTACATTGGAGGTTAAGAGGACAACTCCAAATAGTAGCTTACATCATCATGCTCAACAACCAAAAAATTAAACAACACAGGACAACCAAGTGGTAAATACAGAGAATCCAAATCAAAATGATTAGAAATCGGTAGATTCAATTCAGCAAATGCATCATGTGGAGATTAGTTTACCTTGTAATAATATCTCACTCCTTTCTTCAAGTTCGTCATAACCCCGTCATGTATATACCCAGGATCCCGCCAACCGATGCTTCCGTTCGCCGGCGCGTCGCACATGTGCTCCCTCTCATACCTCCTCACGCGCGCCAGCGCTACGCTATCCAACTTCCTCTCTTTCTCCCCATATCTCACATACGTCTCCCTCGCATCCTTCGTGATGTACACGACCCTCATCTCATCATCATTGTCCGTGAAGGACAAATGAATCTGCTCTGGCCCACGACCCGACTGAAACGAGACCACCTCCGAGGATGCCAGGAGGTGCGCCGTACCGGGAAGCGGGTTGTGGTCTTCATCAAGGTGAGTCGGGTCGACCTCAGAGCGGGTCCAACGGAAGATCCGGAAGGAGTAGCTGGATCGGAGGTTGACTAGAGGGAGGGAAACGGAGCCCAACCCAGCTTTCCAAGTGGGTGATTTGGAGAGGAAGACGTAGCCGATGAATTGATCGTTGGGAGAATCCGGAGGAGAGTATATGCCGAGCCAATCAAGGTCGGAGGGCAAGTCGACGCCGAACCATTTGATCAGGACCGAATCGCCGGATTTTGACAGATTAGTTGAATTGAGAGAGATAGAAACCTGGAATTGGAAGGAAGGGTCGACGAAGATGAATAAGAAGAAGAGAAGTAGCATGCAAGGCTTCATTCTTCTACAGTACATTACTCAGTGATCGGTGATCCCGTTGAAAGGAAGGGAAGACGAAGGATGAAATGATACATCAATATGTATAATATATATATATATATATATATATATATATATATATATATATGCGCCCGCGCGCGCGCGACCGGGGCGGGGTGATGCAAAGGCGAGAACTTGAAAAATGTACCAGTCTATGGGTTTTTTTCAAAGGAAGAAAAACTGGTTTTGCAAATGGATATGATAGATAGCGGTTCCGTGCAAGTGGCTCAAGGCATATTCTTCCAATTCTGCGAATCATTTTCTTCAATCATGTGCTCAAGCAAGAGGCTTGTGAAGTTTTTGAAAGGGATTGGATGTTAGGATAAGGAATAGTGAAGACGATAATATTGGAGAATGGTAAATAAAAATAAAAATTAATTCAAAAAATTAATATATACTGTATTTACTAAGAATTTAGGTCTTTCTTAAGCTGAATCCAAAAATAGTTTAGAAGATTAATTGTTTAATTTGTGTACGCTGCATATATGTTTGGGAGATGATAGTTTATTAATTTGAATTATCAAGCCAGATTGCATAGGTTAAAATTCAAATGCTGTTTGGAACATAAAAATTAAATAATAACTCCTCAATTAACTTCTACATTTAAGACTTAAAAACTATAATAATGAAGGATGCTTAATTTAGGGAAAATGACATTGAGGTCCCACAGAACCAAAAATACAGCAAAAAGGTCCCCTGAAATCCCATAATTTTTCTGAAGTCCCAGAGGGACTTAGATGCAATTTTCAGAATCTGGAAATTACCCTCTTGCCCTTGCTTATGAGATTCGAAAATGCTGAAAGGAGATTAGAGCCTCTGTTTTTTGTTTGACCGGAAGAAAGCTGAAACCCTGTTGTGCTTTTGTGCTGCTGGAAATCTGGTGAAAACCCATCGCGATGCTCAAATTCCCCTCACAACCCGCCGAAAATCGTGAGCCTTCGTGCTGGTTGGTGTGTGTTGTGATTTAAGTTGGGTGTGTAGAATGATAATGGGTGCTCTGTTTTTGAGTTGTTTTTGGGTGGTTTTCCTCTGTTCTGACGTTGGTTTAGTGGCAAAGGAAGAAAAAGATGAAGGTTAGTGAGGGTAGAAACCCTTAGCACGAAATGGGACTGTGTTGTCAATCAGGCCGCGATTGTTGTCAATGTGTGCCGCTACACTTGTCAATGTAGCTCTTTAAGTTGTCAATGACAGTTGCGTGCTTCTTGATGCAGGTTTAAGTTACTGATGGTATTTCAAAGCTTTTGTTTTTGGTTTAGGATTCAGAAGTTAATGAATGGAAAAGCTGTGTTTTTGGTTGGTGTGTGTTGTGATTTAAGTTGGGTGTGTAGAATGATAATGGATGCTCTGTTTTTGGGTGGTTTTCCTCTGTTTTGACGTTAGTTTAGTGGCAAAGGAAGAAAAAGATGAAGGTTAGTGAGGCTAGAAACCCTTAGCACGAAATGGGATTGTGTTGTCAATCACGCCGCGATTGTTGTCAATGTGTGCCGCTACACTTGTCAATGTAGCTCCTTAAGTTGTCAATGACAGTTGCGTGATTCTTGATGCAGGTTTAAGTTACTGATGGCAAGTACGTCTGGAAAACATCTATTTTGCTTTGTTCACATAAGGGGAAAGTTTATAAATGATGGAGAAGATAATATGAGATATGTGGGAGGTAGTGTAAGAACAACCAATGTAAAGGAGGGCACAAGTTATGAAGAATTGAAGGAAATTATATCATCAATTGTTAGAAAAGAAAGCAACTCATTTCTTCTGAAATTCTCAGTTGTGTTTGATAAAAAAACTTTTGTGGAGTTGGTAGATGATGATGGGGTGGAACATTTGATAAAGTTCAATGAAGAAAGTGGTCATGTGTATGTCGAAGAAAATGAAAATGAGGACCACATAGAAGCAACAAGGGATAATATATACAATGGAGGAGCAAGATGTGTAAGTATAGTTGAACAAAACTGTAAATGGGTGTGAAGGGAATTTTTTGTAAATGGATACACACCAATAGTTAGTTTCTCGTAATTACATGCAACCCCTGTGTTTTTTTGGAATGGGTTGTGAAATAGGTGTAGTTTCATGTATATGAAGGTGTAAATGAAAGTTGACTATGAATTGGCATGTTAGATTCTGCTGTCATTTAAGTTGTCATACCTGCACTCTGTATTGTCATTAGACCTGTTATGACTTATCAATAGAGCACTGTCACTTGTCAATTAATTTGCTGATGTAAGTTGTCAACAATATGAATTCAAGTTACATAACTTGTTTTAGTAACATATGATATTTTCAATCACTCTGTCATATTATATTTTTGGTTATTTGTCATATATAATCATTATTAATGAAGTGTCAATGGTGGCACTGTGACTTGTCAATGGTGGCATAGTGACTTGTCAATCATGTCCTTAAGACTTGTTAATGGTGGCGCTGTGACTTGTCAATGGTGGCACTGTGACTTGTTGTTGGTGGCACTATGACTTGCCAATGGTGCACACTGACTTGTCGTTGGTGGCACTATGACTTGTCAATGGTGGCACACGGACTTGTCATTGGTGGCAATTTGACTTGTCAATCGTCGCACCGTGACTTATCAATGGTGGCACTGTGACTTGCCAATAGAGCACTGTGACTTGTCACTGGTAGCACTGTGACTTACCAATAGAGCAGAGTGACTTGTTAATTGAACATAACTCTGAATAACACCTTCTGATTAATTATATGTTAATATAAATATTACTTAACATTACAAATAAATAACACCTTTAGTTGTAAAAATTTTGAATATCAATTGTTAATATCCACATATTCATTTGTTATATCACTTGTCATTAACTCATGTTATATTACTTATTAATATTACATAAATTTGTCGATATCAATAAAGATATAAAACAACAAAAATAAAAATATGAGTTGTCCCCAAGAAATTGGTATCATAACATCTGATAACAAAGATAATAATATTATAAACATAATTTGATCAGTTTGTTACAAAAGGACCTATTGACCATTAAGCTATTGCCCTCATGGCTCACACCCTTAGGTGCCAATCATCTCATAACACATCCTGGCATAACAGAACAAAAAATTAATGGACTCCTCTATCTCCTCTTCTTGCTCTTGTTGAAGTCCAATAGCATTGACATCACTTCATCCCTATGTTCATTTTGTGGATGGGTAACCAACCACCACAAACAGCCAACCTTCAACTCTTGCAATTCATCATTGGAGTATCGTGGCATGGTATATCCTGCAGCATCACAAACAGTGCCATCCCACTCTTGTAGCCAAGAGAGGACATGAACTCCACATGAATCACTGCCAAGCAAATTCAATATGTAAGCAGCATGCAATTTTTATTGTGAACAAACACAACATAACACAATCAAACAGAACAACTACACTCACGTATCATTCTGCACATAAACTTTAGCTCATTTCACTTCGTTGCCAATTTTGTCCTCATTGGCAAACAACTCTGGCTTAACAGCACGCATCATCGTATGGAAACAGTTCATCTGCAAAAAAAAAAAACACATCATCAAAAGGTTTTACTAACAACACAGCATCCAGTAACAAGGGACAGAGCATATTGTGACAAGTAACATAGCATCCAGTGACAAGGGACAGAGCATCCAGTAACAAAAAACAGCATCCACTAACAACTAACAGAGCATCCACTGAGAAATGACAGAGCATCCAGTGAGAAATGACAGAGCATCCAGTGTGAAGTAACAGCATCCAGTGACAAGTAACAGAGCATGCAGTGACAACTAACAGAGCATGCAGTGACAACTAACATAGCATCTAGTGACAACTAACACAGCATCTAGTCAACTAAGCATCCACTGACAACTAACAGAGCATGTGATGACAACTAACACAGCATCCAGTGACAACTAACACCGCATCCAGTGACAACTAACAGAGCATGCAGTGACAACTACGCAGGCTGCTAGTGACAACTATAAGAGTAGTCAGTGACAAGTCACAGTGCTCTATTAGCAAGTCACAGTGCCACCATTGATAAGTCACGGTGCGACGATTGACAAGTCAAATTGCCACCAATGACAAGTCCGTGTGCCACCATTGACAAGTCATAGTGCCACCAACGACAAGTCAGTGTGCACCATTGGCAAGTCATAGTGCCACCAACAACAAGTCACAGTGCCACCATTGACAAGTCACAGCGCCACCATTAACAAGTCTTAAGGACATGATTGACAAGTCACTATGCCACCATTGACAAGTCACAGTGCCACCATTGACACTTCATTAATAATGATTATATATGACAAATAACCAAAAATATAATATGACAGAGTGATTGAAAATATCATATGTTACTAAAACAAGTTATGTAACTTGAATTCATATTGTTGACAACTTACATCAGCAAATTAATTGACAAGTGACAGTGCTCTATTGATAAGTCATAACAGGTCTAATGACAATACAGAGTGCAGGTATGACAACTTAAATGACAGCAGAATCTAACATGCCAATTCATAGTCAACTTTCATTTACACCTTCATATACATGAAACTACACCTATTTCACAACCCATTCCAAAAAAACACAGGGGTTGCATGTAATTACGAGAAACTAACTATTGGTGTGTATCCATTTACAAAAAATTCCCTTCACACCCATTTATAGTTTTGTTCAACTATACTTACACATCTTGCTCCTCCATTGTATATATTATCCCTTGTTGCTTCTATGTGGTCCTCATTTTCATTTTCTTCGACATATACATGACCACTTTCTTCATTGAACTTTATCAAATGTTCCACCCCATCATCATCTACCAACTCCACAAAAGTTTTTTTATCAAACACAACTGAGAATTTCAGAAGAAATGAGTTGCTTTCTTTTCTAACAATTGATGATATAATTTCCTTCAATTCTTCATAACTTGTGCCCTCCTTTACATTGGTTATTCTTACACTACCTCCCACATATCTCATATTATCTTCTCCATCATTTATAAACTTTCCCCTTATGTGAACAAAGCAAAATAGATGTTTTCCAGACGTACTTGCCATCAGTAAC